TAGTATAAATGGATCTTGTCCTTTTATATACACACAAACTTTCTTTCATAAAGTTATAACATGAAATAACTTAATAATTGAAACATGTTTTATTCATTGGTAAAGGGTGAATGATGTTATCCACAATGAGTCAATGTTTTATGATCATCACTTTGCGACCAATGCTTTTCATGTCATTTTTGGTATGCACCAAAAATGGGCGTCGTAGTCAATATATATTGGTGGTGACGGCGTCTAATGGAGGATCATTGCTTGCTTTTCCATCATTGTGGTGCATGCTTTTGTTGCTTACGCCACCAACCAAGTTGACCCACAAATCTTTACTTTCTCTTTTCCCATGATTTTTCTCCTTTTCCATTCTTCTTTATTATTAGTAATAAATGATTGAGATAAACTCCCCTAACCCACACCCTAAAGTGTTGAATGACAATTGAATTGGCTTTAAGATAGTGGCAACTTTCTTTTATGGACATATAGGGAAACTCCTTAAGAACTAAGAATACTACAATTAAATGCAATATATCAACTTCTTTTTCTTTGCATTTTTTTTCTTAAATAAAGAACATTGTTGAATTTACCTAACATTCGACAAGTGGCGTGTTATGATTGGTTACCAATCTTTGTTATGGATCAGATCAAAGAATGATTTGTAGGATTGCAATGAGAAAAAAAAATCAATTACTTAGTGAAAAAGGAAATAAAAAATAGATTTTGTTTTTTTAAAGAGAAGAATCCTTTTGTTCATGGAGTTGTTAAATCTCTCGTGTGCATCACTTTTCACTTGTATGAGCTGTTTGGAACTTAGTTTAGTGTTTGATTATGTGATGTTCGAAAAGTGAAGATGGATATATGCAGATATGTAATATTTTTACGACGATTTTAGAGTTGTGATTATCTTCTTAGTTAATGAATATGTGTTTAAATTTGTCCTTAATATTTATTCGAACAATCAAAATAACATTTTTTTAATGAAAATTGTTAATTAAATAACTATTAACGTCCTGACGTGATATTTTCATATGTACTTAATTATTAATGATGTATGTGTTGCATTATCAAAAGAGATGTTACATAAAAAATTAAACACGTGTGGAAGTGTCACGTCAATAATAAGTATTAATCATTAGTTAATTAACGATTTCTATCTTGAAAAGAATTATTTTAGCAAAAAAATGTTTAGGGCTAGACTGTTTCAAAAAAAAAACGGAGGATAAAGTAATTATTTTGTTAATATTAAGAGTAATTTTTTAAATTATACCGTTATTTTATTTGAATCTTTTCAAATATCGAAACAAAGATAAATTTCAAACATTATTAAGGATGTGTATGAGTCGGGTCAGGTTTTTGACTAACCTGAATTTGATCCAATCATTTTACCCTTTCACTTGTCAGTCGGCTCAACTCGAGTTTGAGAGGCTCTACCCGACCATGTTTTGATAAAAGCCCGCACTACACCTGATCTGATATGTGTGTATGTGTGTGTTTTTCGTCCTATAAAATCAAACTAAATCAAAACTCGTGAGATTTAGATAACATTCTCAACCCCAAACACAATCCTCGAACAATAGCAATCAAATATAGCCTCTCTATGTTAATTAAACATAAACTATCTTAATAAAGGACCATGTTTTGTTTATTATTAAGGTGGTTATCGTATTATCCATATGTATGGAAATACACACACAAACAAGCAAACATTGATGTCTCCCTTGTCGTTGCTGTCACTGTCTTCCCCCCTTCCCCTTTAACACCATTAGTTTATAAAGTGAAAGCAGATTCTTTAGATCTATTTGTGGATTGGATTGTACTCTGTGGTATCTTCTCTACAAACTATATTTTTATTAATTTTTCTTAAGATGTCTTAGAACTCATTTAGAGATAATTCTGATATTATTTTTACTATCTTTTGACATGATCATTATTAATCTTATTATCGAATAAATTTATCATTTAATAGTTAAATTTTTTATTTATCAACTCATAAATAATCATCAACCATAGGACTAACATCAACCATCCTACTATTTGGTGTCATGAAATATATATAACAGCATAAGCAAGACTGAAAGAAGGAAGTTTATGATGGTTTATGTGTCTTATGTGATGAAGCTCTTAAAACAAGGAATCACCTGTTTGCTTATTTGTAACTTCGCGAAATCCCTGTGGAAAGCTATCTTGAATCTCTCTCGCTCGTGCAGACCTCACATGTCTCGGGATATCATGCTTGATTGGGCTTGTGACGCTTGGAAGGGTAAATCCCTCCTTTCCATCGTCATGAAGATTGCTTGGAATGCTTTCATTTACTCGGTTTGGGTGGAAAGAAATAGAAGAATATTCCAAGGAAGGTCTCGAACAGTTGATCAGATTTTGTACTCTATTAAGGAGTTCGTTAGAATTCAACTTAGAGGTAGAAATATTAATAGAGTTGATAATGTTAATATTAACCCATGTAATTATTGGGGTATAGACTAACCATTTTTGTTGTAAGTAAGTTTGCTTTTGTTCCCAGGTTGGGATGTTTGTTGTAGCATAACTCTGCTTCTTTGGATAATAAATTTTAATTTATCCAAAAAAGAAGAAGGAAGTTTCAATTCCATACCAACTGCTCACCATTTTCTTTAATTTTTTTCTATATTCTTTAAGATCAATCACCGATTATAATTCTCTATCCAATTAAAAAAAAATCTAAAACCATAATTTTATTATTTAGACCATCAACTTACTTTAAAAAATAAAATAAAATCTGAGTTGAAATTTAGATAAATTTAATGTATGATTTCACTTCACATTTTAATAGAATATTATATAGGGACAGGATCCACTTACAATATATAAAACAAATAAGTTTTATATTAATTTATAGTCATTAGATATCATTAAATAAATGAATTAGATTTAATTAAATTTTATAATCCATAAATAAATATCTTTTAACTCACAATAAAACAATCTCTCTTTTTACCTTAATTTCATATCCTAAACCCTAAACACCAAAATCTCAAATCCTACTCTAAACCCTAAACCCTAAACTCTAAACCCTAAATCTTAAACCCTAAAACTTAAATCATAAACCCTAACCCTAAAAACATTATTTTACTACGAGTTAAAGAAATGTTTAGTTCCATACATTTCTTAATCAAACAAATATTTATTTATGAATTATAAATTTTAATTAATTATTTATTTAAATTTAATAATTTACTACTGTACTTTAACTCTATATAATATACAGGGAAGGTAAAATCAATTTGCTGGCACTTTTCATGCAGTGACTCATTTTGGACCTTCATGTGCAACTCTGAGAGCAAAAGGCCTTTTCTTCATTACCTATACAGATTAGATTAGCTCAATTATAAAATAAATGTTTTTTTTAATATATTATCAGAGTTAAATGATTGTTTTATTAATTAAAAAATTGTTTAGGGTTGTTTAATTATGGGCCAAGGCGTCCCCAAGTTGAGGGAACTCTACTTGTTATGGCCCCATACTCGTTAATTAAATAAATAATAAAAGAACCAAAATATGCTTACGTCGATATTGTCATAGGGTACCGTACGGACTCGAATCTTCCTTAGACACAGTTTTGTTCTCTTTTGGTTCGGTTTAGATTTACCCTTTTATCTCTTTATGTCATTACAGTCGAACCTCTCGTGATGTATATTTTCAAATTTTTTTAAATATTTATTTAAATAAATTATCAATTTAATTATCTATTTTCATATTTTTGTTTGAGTTACTCATCTATTTTATTTAAATTATAAATAAAGTTACGTTTTATTTTTTTTTTCGATCAATCTCTGTTAAAAATTAAGATTCTTTTATTGACATAGGGTAAGTAAAAAATAATATTTGTTTAAAGATAAATTGAAAATTTTGATATTGAACGTTTATATTCTGGTGCTCGAACTCGAATCTTCAAAAATTATCAATAATTTTTTTATCATGGAGGTGACTTGATCCGTACTACGATTGTTATAATCAGTTATAGGAGTAATTCTATCTTTATTTCCTATAAAATTCAATGTGTGTAATTAGTGTCTTGAAAATATTACCATATTCATAGATTCAGTTCTTGTTTATGAAATCATTTTTTATTCAAAACGAATTGGTTTAGAATCTATCAAACTATTCAAATCTTATTATTATTTTCTTATAAAAGAAACTAGTTTTATTAAAATACAAATACTCATAATTACGATGAATGTTTATCATTATAATCGTAAATTAAATATATAATTAGTGTATTTTCTTATAGCCATTAACACAATAAACTAGACATTTGGAATCATACAACGATCATGTAATGAAAAAGTTAAAAATCCAAGCATCATACTTGACCAAAGGTAGATATGACATAAAGCTACAGAAAGACCACCGAAAAATCGCATATTAGAGTCGAGGGACGTGAAAAAACTATCTATAAAGAAAATTGAATATCCCAATTCAATCTAATGGTTCGAAATAAAAAAATAACAAGATAACAAATAAACATCACATTGATCAACCGAAACGTTGTCAAACTCTAGTGAATATCATATGATCTGCAAACTACAACAGTTATTTACCCAAGCATGCTATACATGTTTACCAGCTCTAAAACCTACTCAACAGTTAAGTGACAAATACCTAACCATTGAGGACAAGAGGAGAGAACCAGTCATGGAGTTTGTGTTTTATATGTAAGAGAAGGAGAGAGGGACAGGACACGAATAACGATAAAAATTACCTAACCACCACAAACAGCATTCCTTGAAAGATAAACAGAGGAAATCAATATACCCCCAAAAAAAAATCGAAAAGAACTAACAAAAACAAACTTAAAATTGTGAAGGAATAATAATAATAATAATTATATCATACAGGCAAATCCAGAACAAAACTACGGATGTAGCCACCCAATTTAGCCATCCTTTGTTCTCCATGTCCACTGCCGCCGCCACCACAGCCTCCTATGCTTTCCCTCCTTTCGAACTTTGTCCTCCCCATTTCTTCTTCTTCGACGACTATGGTGTTGCTATCATTTCTAAATTCTTCTTCTTCATCGTTTTCATTATCAATGTTGTCGTTATTGTCATTTTCCTCGTCAGCTGCTGTTTCTTCTTCCTAGTCTTTCATAATGCATAGCCGAAGGCGGCCATTACTTCGTTCGGCTCGGAAGATTCTGTTGTTATACGGTGCCTTCTCGGCTTTTATTACCAACCTTCCGTTTTCGCGATAGGGCCGAACTCGAATCGATTCGGCCCCGCTTATCGTCGTCAACGGAGGCGGAAAATCAACCCCAATTGCTTTCTTACCGCCCGATACTCGTCGCGATTTATGTTGTTTCCATGTCGGAGGATTCAACGAAGGCGACAAAGAGAAAATGTCGTCGCCATCGTCGAGGACATCGTCACTTCCCGTCTCGCTGCCCAAATTCTCGGTGCACAACTCCAGGCTCTTATCACTCAGAGCAGACAAAGAACGCTCGACTAAAGGATGTACATAAGTATGCCCATTCCCTTCAATCGACAACCGAGGGCCATCGAACATGGCTTGGAGTACACTCCAGCCACCCGGTTCAGGGTTCAAATTAACGGAATGGGGCCTCGACGAAGATAGAGTTAGCCTCAACGCTGTCGGCTCGACCATCAGGGACTCGAGGCACGAGGGTAGGCTTTGGTGGTGGTGGCAAACGATCGTCGCCATAATACAAAGGAAATAATACAAAGTTGGAAAGTGGAGTGAGATGAGGTAAAGGGGTGGGAAGGGGGATGTGAATTTGTAGTACTCAAAAAGTGCCAGCATATGACACCACTTGGATTATACAAATCTTAAATCTGTCACACTGGTAAAAGGCAACAAAGAAAAATGGCAAAAAAAGGAAGCATTTTCAATTTGGTGCATCACTTTAAATGAGTAAGAAAAAATAGCGAGATAGAAAATGTTATAAAAATTATAATATTTTAAATTGGGCGCAACCTAAAATGTTATTTTTTTAACATTTTTCGGTTGAAACACTTCTTTATAACATTTTCGGTTGACAACCGAAAATGCTAACTTCTGTATAACATTTTCGATTAAACCCAAATGTTAAAAAATTAACATTTTAAGTTACGCTCAACTTAAAATATTATAATTTTTATAATATTTTCGATCGCACCTATTTTTTATCATTTTTTAACCTTAAATTAGACATTCGTAACATAAAATTATCCTTCTCTACTTTTATTCAGTGTACTGTGCATAAATTAGTACAATGAATTGTTACTTGCCAATAAAAGTTAAATCAAATCAGATACTTAAGTGATTTAAGACAAAATTATACATTTTCGGGGGAGGTCAAACATAATTTTATCATTTTACTACCAAAAAGTCTAAAAGTACAACTTTTTAAACCAACAAAAAAAATCATAAAACTAGGGACACAGCGAGAAATTTTACCATTTTATTAATTAAAAGTTCTATAATTTTAGGGTCAAAAGAACAATTATACCAAACCTAGGGGACAATGAACTGGACCTAATGAGAGCCGATTACCTATTAATATTTTTTTTTGAGGTATAACCACTGATATCTAATTTATCGGTCCATATTTTTTTAAAAGATCTAAAACTTTATCGTATTAAACCAACTAGTAATTGGTTGTCAGTTTTAAAATTTTTAATAAATTGTTAATAGATTTATATAATATACTATCTAAATTAATGAAACGAATATAATTAATTAGAAAAAATATATAAATTTTTTTCCCATCAAAATGTTTATAATTGGATTCAAAGATTTTACAAAATATATAAATGGTCCCTTGACTATAGGATATTGCTTTATTAAGTCCTCCAATTATTAAAAGTTATAAAATGATTCATCAACTATAGGAAGTTATTTTATTGAGTCCCTTGACTATTAAAAGCTACAAAATGGTCACCGACTACTTATTATGTTCCAAACTAGTCCTTTTCCATTAAAAAATTAATGATCATCTAAGTTGGACGTTAACATACTGATTGAGTTATGAGAGTCGTTCAAGATTATGAGATCATATTTTATCGTATCCCAGTCAGTAGGTTAACGTACAACTCAAATAATCCTCAAATTTTTTGGGGTTTCTCTCGGCATACGTTAGCGGGACTAATGGAAATTGAGGAAACTGCTTCGGCGATTCCGACGAAACGATTGATCGACCTTTCAACAGTCTTCTTCTCCTTCTTCTTCAACATTCCCAAAGTATTGAAAGCCTTTTGATGGACTGGCAAAAGATGTTTTCGTGTTCTTCTGGAAACCAGCTAAAGTATTTTCCCCCTAATTCGAGCAATGGGGTTCTGAAGGTTCATCCACCGCCCGAAGTATTCGAAGAGGGGATCGCAGAATGGAGACTTTCGCTCATTGGGCAATTCCTTGGAGCTGCTCCCAAAATTGCCTCCCTGCAACAAATAATCGGAAATCTGTGGAAGAAATCCTTGCAAGGTGCCACTGTACAGGTTAGTTTCGCAGGAACTAATCTTTACCTATTTTCCTTTAATTCTGAACAAGCTCGTGACTGGGTACTGGAGAATGGTCCTTGGCATATTTTTAACAAACCTTTGATCCTTAGGAGATGGGAACCAAATTTGGAAAAGCTAAATTTTAATTTATCTAGAATTCCTATTTTGGTACATTTATATAATGTCCATTTTGAGTTGTTCTCTGGTGAAGGCCTTAGTTATATAGCAAGTGCTATAGGTTTTCCCCTCTCTATGGATACTATCATTGCATATAAGTCTAGACTCGAATTCACAAAGGTTTGCGTCGAAATTGGGGCGTCTGATACTATCCCAAAGTTTATTGAAGTTATTCTTAACAATGGTCACACAACATCGATTGCTGTTGAAGTACCATGGCTTCTATCTAGCTGTAAGAATTGTAATGTGTTTGGACATAGTGCTAAAGGGTGCAAACATAACTCTAGTTCCTCTCAAGCTAATTTGCTAGTCTGGAGGAAAAAAGATACCATCACCTCCTCTGCTCTGGTTCATGATCCTGCTAGTATTGAAGTTAGTCAGAATAATAAGACGACCGACTTGGATTCTTCTATGAACAAATTTCCTACAGCCAATGAATTAGGAAATCAAACATGCCCAGAATTATCTCAATCTGGCACTAATTTAGCTGCGTTGGGGGATCCCAAATTTCCAGCATGCTCTTCATCTATTGTTATTGCTCCAGAATCTGTCCCTGTTAAGACATTAGTTAAAAACTAAAAGCAACCTGATCAGATTGACATTCCTAATGACATTACTCATGTACTTCCATCCCCTACTAAAAGAGGTAGATGAAGGCCTCCTAAAGAAAATAAAGTTTTTACAGGATCCATCAATAGATTTAAAGTTTTAAACTCAATGGATGAGCTTCATTCTGCCCCAGAAAATCAAGCGAAAAAAGTTAGAGCTGCAGCTTCATGTGTTGCAGAACTAATCAAATAACTCAAATAAAAAAAGAATACTCATATTGATAAATCTAAGGGAAATTCAATAGGTAGTAAAGGAGGGGACTCATGCTCCTCATCTCAAGGGAAATGATTATCTCGTTCTGGAACGTGAGAGGTTTAAATAATCCTCTCAAACAAGGTCGAGTCCTTGGAAGGGAAAAAAGAATAATGTTGATATTCTCTGTTTGTTGGAAACTAGAGTGAAAGTTGAAAAATCAGCATAATTACTTACAACAGCTTTTGAAAATTGGAATGTTCTCACCAACTACGATTTTGCGAGGAATGGAAGAATTTGGTTTTTGTGTAAGAAGGGTTTGGATTTATCATCATGTTTTATCACGGATCAGAGTATCACCGTCAAAGGTATATTCAATGATCAACACTTTCTTATTACTGTAATTTATGGCAATAACTATGGAACTATTAGAAGACAACTCTGGCAAGATCTCCGACATCTTGATTCAAATTTTAGTAACCTCCCTTGGATCTTGGGAGGAGATTATAATGTTATTTTGCACAATCACGAAAGTTCTGATTATGAGCATATGGGTATGATTTTGTCTTCAGAAATGATAGAGTTTCAAGAAGTCACCCATAATTTACAATTGCAAGACCACCCGTTCTTTGGACCAACCTTTTCTTGGAGCAACAAACAAAGTGACAATTACCTTGCTCGGAAGTTGGACAGAGTGTTTGTCAATCCAAGGTGGTTCGAAACTTTTCCAAACTCTTTTGTGGAATTCTTGGCTCCGGGTCCTTCGGACCATTGTATGGCAATGATGGACCTCAACAAAAAGGTTCAATTGAATAGACCAAAACCCTTCAAATTTTTCAACTGTTGGACTCTTCACCCTGATTTTCTTAACATAGTTAGTAACTCTTGGAATGAGGTTGCCCATGGTAATCCAATGAAGTATTTGTTTCTAAAGCTCAAACGTCTCAAAGTTAGTCTTAAAACTCTCAATAATGAATGCTTTAGTGACATTTCTGCTCGTGTCAGACTCAAGAGAGAAGAATTTGAAAGGCAACAAATTTTTACACTAAGAGGATCGGAGCCCATTGAGAAAGAAATTGAGCTGCAGAGACATTTCAAATCTTTAGAAGAAGCCGAAATCATGTTCCTAAAGCAAAAGGCTAAATTGCATTGGCTAAAAGATGGCGACAAATGCACAAAGTTCTTTCATTCCGTCAATGCTACAAAGAACAAACAATAGAATATAAGGGTCCTTGTTAACAACCAGGGGGAAAGACTTGAATCTTATGATGAAATGTCCACGGAAGTTATCGAGTTTTTTAAAAAACTTTTAGGCTCCCGTTATCCTAATGTTAAAGGTTGCTCTTCTAAAATGCTTAAAGACTTGATGCACTCTATTCCTTCCATTGAAGAATCTGAAGCTCTTGTTAAGGAAGTCACCAGCGAAGAGATCAAAGATGTTTTATTCAGTCAGGGTAATGATAAGGCTCCTGGTCCAGACGGTTTTACTTCTTTCTTCTTCAAGAAAGCCTGGCCAGTAGTCGGTAATGATGTTATTAAGGCTATTAAGTTTTTCTTTTAAGACTCGTACATTTATCCGGCCTTTAACGTAACCACCATTGCTTTGATCCCTAAAATGCCAAATCCAAGTAAAGTTTCGGATTTCCGACCTATATCCTGCTGTTCTGTTATATATAAGACCATTACAAAGATTTTAGTCAATAGGATGACTAATATGCGTCCTAAAATTATTGCTCCAAATCAATCAACTTTCGTTAAAGGTAGGAGAATTACGGACAACACCCTACTTGCGTAGGAAATTGTGAAAGGATATGGTAGGAAAAACATTTCCCCCAGGTGTGCATTGAAAATTGATCTACAAAAGGCTTTCGATTCCATCAATTGAGACTTCATTTCTACAATTCTTAAAGCTCTGGAATTACCTCCCAAATTCACTGAATGGATTGTTTCCTGCTACTCTGATGCAAGATTTTCCGTTGCTTTTAATGGCAGTTTGATTGGTTACTTCAAGGGTGCCAAGGGAATTAGGCAAGGGGATCCACTTTCCCCTATTTTATTTGTCCTGGTCATGAACGTCCTTTCCAATATTCTCAACAATATTGCTTCTAAAAGGATTTTTGCTTTCCACCCTAAATGTAAGAATATTGGACTTACCCACCTGTCATTTGCGGATGATTTATTAATTTTCTGCAAAGGAAACATTGAGTCTGTTTTGGGTATCATCACTGTCTTGGATTGTTTTTATGAATTTTCTGGACTGAAGCTAAACGCAGGTAAATGTGAGGTTTTCACTGCTGGAATTCCTGCTCAAAGACTTGATTCTATTATCTCATCTTCTGGTTTTAAACATGGTAATTTACTTGTTAGATATATTGGGGTACCGCTTGTCACCATAAAGTTAGCCGATAAAGATTGTCATGCTCTCCTAGGCAACATAAAGAACAGACTCCATCAATGGTCTAGGAAGACAATGAGCTATGCACGTAGGGTTGAACTAATTAAAACGGTTTTCTATAATATTGCTAGTTTTTGGTGCAGACAACTCGTACTGCCACAGTCCATAATCAAGAAAATTGAGCAATTGTGCTAAAGGTTTTTATGGAAAGGCTCGGATATTCCTACTAAAGGAGCAAGGGTGAGTTTGGGTAACATTTGTAAATCGAAATCAGAGGGGGGTCTGGGATTGAAAGACATTAAGTCCTGGAATAATGCCTGCCTAATTCATCTAACCAGGAAATTACTTGCGGGGGAAGGCTCTTTATGGGTGGCTTGGATTCATAGCTACATAATCAAGCAACAAGACTACTGGACCATGGATGATTCAACGAGATTCAGCTGGAGCTTCAGGCGTTTACTGAAATTAAGAAGTATTGCTCAACCAGTCCTTGCAACAGCTGCAAAAAGCACGAAAGAAATATAGGAAGAAATCAGACCCAAAGATGCTAAAGTTTCATGGCAAAATCTGATTTGGTACCCCCTCCATATACCGAAGCCCAACATCATTTCCTGGATGATTATCTTGGATCGACTGCCTACCAAAGAAAGATTATTTCGATTTGGCCTTGTTATCGATGATACCTGCACATTCTGCTCTGTAACAACAGAATCTCGGAACCATCTCTTTCTTGAATACACGAAGACTGCTACCATTTGGAAATCAATTCTACAGCTGTCTGGTATTAACAGATCCTTTTCAACTTGGACTGATCTGTTGGAATGGGCATCCAATACCTGGAAAGGTAATCACTGATCACTAGAGTATTGAAGCTCTCTTGGTGCACATTTAATTATATCATATGGGAGGAAAGAAATCGAAGGATCTTCAAAGGAAATTGCAGAACTGAAGAAGATATTATTAACACTATTAAGTAGATTGTTGGAGTTGTTCTAAGCAATAGAAATGTTAATAGATTAGATAGGATTGATTCTGATCTTTGTGAACATTGAGGTATAAGTTAATTTTGTTGTAAATAGGATCCCCTTCTTGGTTTTGTCTGTATTTTTGTAGCGGTTCGCTGCTATCTTGGGTAATAAATTTTAAATTATCCAAAAAACAAAATCTTCAAATTTTAACGAAAAAGGACGAGTTTGGAACATAATGAACAATTGATTGATCATTTTGTAATTTTTAATAGTAAAAAAATTCAACAGAGTAACTCCCTATAGTTGGAAGACAATTTTGTAACTTTTAATTATTGGAGGACTTAATAAAATAATATCCTATAGTTAGAGGACAATTTATGTATTTTACCCAATATTTTATTGAACACCGAAATCACAAATAACCAATTGTTTCAGGTATGATTCATATGTTTTACGAGTACACCAAAGTTGATCGCATTAAAAAAAGAGGAATAATCATCCGTACCATTAGCCCACAGCCTTTGGATTTTCCAGGGGCTAAAGTTGCAGAAATGGACATTAATTATAGCAAGAATAAATTTTGCGGATTGACCAAAACAACAATTTCTTTATGCTGAAACACCACGCCCTGGCCCCAGCATACCCACACGATGAAGGGTAAATTTGTCAAATCATCAAAGTTTGAGATCCTCGAAAGGTGTTTGGACCGACAGCCTCCGCACCAACCATGGAAATATTTAAACAAATGGCAAATCTAATTGTGAGTCCCACAAAGACAAAAAGTTATTCAAATTAGGTCATGTTACTCCACATTTTTCGCAGTTTACAGTTCTTATCAATGGAGCATACGTTCAAAGAATATTCAGTTATCAACCGGTTAGTTCAAGTATTAAGTAGTTTGATATCGCTTAATCAGGTCTTGAGTTCGAGTCTTTGTGTAATGAAAAAAGCTTCGTCAGAAGACTAATCTATCAAAATCACGTGTACGACGCGAGTAAATCCAGAAAGCATCGAGAACTAGGACGACAATAAAAAAATATACATAGTTGTTTCCCTGATGCAATTGAATCTTTTAAATTTTTTAGAATTCCAATTTCATCCACAAATTATTACTTTTATTGTAAATTAGTCCCTAAAATTTTAAATATTTTAATTTCATCTACAAACTATGATTTTATTCTAAATTAGTCTCTATAAATTTTAATATTTCAATTTCACCTCAAATCATTGGTATACGCTAATCACATCCCATATTAATAAAATCGTTAGATCAAATTATATTACTATATGTTTTAAAAATATTAGTCTAAGGTTGGTTGAGTTTGGTTTTAGTTAGCATAAATTAGTTGATCCTTATTCCCATATGTAATAGGGTAAGAGGAGGTAAGATAATAGATTACCTCCAACACCAGGTTGAGAGCATCATTCTTCTATTTGGTCCTTGGCTATGGTTTTTCATTGAACAGAAAAAGGAAAACCATGTTCGGGCCATAAATGGCATGATTCTCCACTAACTCACCCCTTTAGCTTTGTCCGCTAGGCGCTAACCTATGACTGCTAAATATAGAATCTGCCTCAATGACCCAGGCCATGTGGGCGGTCAACAAACGACCTACCCTATAAATGGTTAAACTAATGGCAAAATAGGGTTCCATGAGGTTGCAAAACAAGCTGGTCTTTGCCATTTGAGGGTTTCGCGGCTTGTGGGTTTCCTGGTATAGAAAAGCTGCCTCGGCTCTTTCACATGTCGCCTTTTTTTTATCACACATGCATGAACAAGCACACATTTTTGCCCCATGCTGTTGCTTTGCTGTTTTATGCTCGATTGTGCCTGACAAGTACGATGGGAATTTCAGCACTGACATTGATGTTGTCGTCTCTTTTCTATTGGTCCTAGACCGTGTAATCTCATTACGTTTGAAGTTGAATCGAGTCATATAACTTTTCTATGAAATGTGTGGTGGATGTTTTGATACAAAAGGTTACAATTTTTATATGAAATTTCAAACAAATATTACGGCGATTGTCAAGCAGGCAGAATCGGTGGAATTAAGGATGGGCACAGTACATGAACTCAACGGATCTCAACCCAAATCGATTTTATCGAGTCAGATTTTAATAAAAAAGAATGGTTCGGATCGGAATTGTTTAAAGATTATGTTTAGGGTTTAGGATGAAAAATATCCGACCCGATCATACCCAAAAAAATATAATTTTACCTTATATGTTTAGAGATAATTACAATAAAACTCATATTTTTTTCAATTAAATCCATATTTTTATTGAATAAAACTATTTTTTATAAAAATATTATTTCATATCAGATTCGGATTATATCTGGCAAGGGAGAGTCGGATAAAGAGTGTATAATTTTGGGTCGAATTCAGGTCGGATGGAGGATGCGTAAATTTTGGTTCAGGTGAGGTTGACGACCCAACCCGGTCATGCCACCCCTAGGTGAAATTCAATCATTTTCCATATATTAGGAGACAACTTAGATTTGAACTTTGAAGACAATTTAATTGGAATAATAATTGATTGTGTATGTGTATTGTTGATGATTAAAAAAATTATAAATATATATTATTTTATAATCGCATCAGATAAATAAAAAAATCTATTAATAATTAGATTTACTAGGCAAAAAGTTTAGATGTCTCAACTCATTTACATCTTTTGGGTGATGATTATGGAATCCATATACCATTTTAATAAGGGTGGTTGATATATAAATATTATGGAACTTCCGTATTAGGAAAAGAAATTATGTAATAAAGCAAGTAAAGATGATTCTCGATTGTAGGATGATATTTTGGTCAGTCCATCAACTATTAAAGTTACAATATGATCCTCCAATTATAGAGTATTATTTATTATGTCCTTCGACTATTAAAAATTACAAAATAGTCACTCAACTATTTATCATGTTCCAAATTCATCAATTTCTGTTAAAAATTGACGTCAATATGAGCTGAACGTTAACATGTTGCTTGTGATATGATAAAATATGATCATAGAATCTCAAACAACTATCATATCACAGTCATCATGTTAGCGTTCAACTCAGGCGACATTCAATTTTTTTAACAGAAAAGAGACGAGTTTAGAACATAATGAATAGTGGGATAACCGTTTTGTAACTTTTAATAGTAGATGGACTCAACAAAACAACACTCTATAATCAGAGGACCATTTTATAACTTTGAATAATTGAGGGACCTAATAAAGCAGTATCCTATTCGAAGGAACATTTGTATACTTTACCCAAAATTTTAAAAGTTTGTTTAATGAAATTTATAAAATTTTTAGGCCCTTTTAAACTAAAATTAAGTGAATTAGATCATAGTCTCCCAATTTTTCTGTTTAAATATTTTTTAGTCCCCTCTCAATTTTAAAGTTAGATAAATTAGATCTTAACCACTCAATTTTAACTTTAAAATGAGGACACAAGAATTAGACTATGATAATGATTTTATGCTTACTTATTATATATATCCTCTTGAAATTTTATCATGATTTCGTCCATGTTTTTATAACTTTAGGTTGAGAATGAAAAATCAATATATTGTGATAATTTTCTAAAGATTTTCATAGTAAAAAATATATTATTTTAAATATTTTATCGATAATTATTTATATAATATTAATTTTAGATTACATAATATTAAGATCTTAATTTTACTAAAATTAAAAGCTTTATGAATTTATATAGTACATTGAAGATTATTTAAAAAAAAAAGTCAAATCGAAGCATAATATTTACATCAGAATCTATCTGATTTCTTTGATTTTGAAATCTACTTTTTTGTTCACTTAAAAGGAATAATAATACAATTTTATTATTTTAATAATGTGTTTATTTATTTTGATTAGTAGTGTAGAGCATTAAGCAAGAGTAGGCCATATTTGCTTGGAATGAAGTGGAGCCTAAAGTTGATTAAATTAATTTATATTTTTTTGGTTGTCCTCTCTGTTCCTAGGTTTCGTATTGACTAATTCGAATCGACCCACGTCATATACCTGCCTTTGGTGGGTGAGTCTCCTAATAGAGATTTTCTGCATACACAAGGACTCAAACTCGTTACCTTGCTCAAGCGATATTAAGTTGCTTATCACTTGAACCAACCCGGTTGGTAAAATAAATAAATATTTGGCATAACCTAATTATTATAATTAATACCTTTTAAGAAAGACCAGAATCCAATTCACAGCTGAAGTAAGCACATTCACAAAGCACCTTCATTATGCTTTTTTTGACAACCATTCCCACTTTTTTTATTTAATTTTAAAACTCATACAGACAACGTAATCAATCCATACAAACATTTTTGCAATAAATTATTGCATTTGAGTTTATTATTGAGTGAAAGGTTAATATTCATCGAGTGAAAGAATCGGCCGACTAAATTAATCATAGTTCTTTAAAATTATTTTTTATTATTATTTCATTCGAATTGGATAGTGGCTTTTTAAAATATTATTTTATATTTAATGATGTGTTTAAAAGATATATGTAAATTATTTCATATAATCCTCATTGATTTGGCCATCTTGACGTTGGTCGCCGTTCGTCGGTATTTTTTATTGTTTTTTTTTTATTTTTTTATATCATATTTTTATTTTTTTTTTCTTGTTTTTAATTTTCAGTAAGTTTACCTTTGTGACTCGATTTCATGTCTTTATGGTATGTTTTTCTCAGCCTTTTGACACGTTTTCTGTCGTTTGACATTTTTTTCATTAATTTTTTTAAAGTTGATTCGACATCATCACGATTGATCAAGATGACGCTTATTTGTTATCATACCGATCTTTTCTACTTTAGACCCTCAAATTAGATTTGGATACTTGAATTATGTTCGTGGATAGTTTTTTTTTTCACGTCGCTCGACTTTGATTTATTGTTTTATCGGTGATCTTTCAATAGTTTGATCCCCTTTTGCAGTTCAATCTCCGATGTGATTACATTTGTTTGTATCTATCATTGTTCGAGTTTTAGTTAGGTTTTTTAATCTTTCCTTGTATGGTCTTTATGTGATCTTAAGCTGTTAATTTTGTGTCAATAATTTTAGAAAAATATCCCTATTATATGCTTAATTTACAATTATAATTTTAAATCTCTATTGTAATTCAAAATATTTTATTTTTTTAATAAACTAAGTGACTTCTAAAAACGTTTTACTCATCCAACAAGTAAAAGTTTTCCTTATTCAAAAATAAATATTTGATTGTTAACCCTTCAGATCTCGAGTCTAAACATGACGTTTATAGAGATGTAGGATTATTTATTATCAAATAATTGAAGTTTTATATTTCATACGAGCATTGGGGTGCCTTTCCGCCACTTTGTTGACATGCCGTATACAGAAATATGCCAACGGCAAGGCAGGGCATAATACTAAACCTATAAGTAGATAACCCTTTAGTCAAAGAAATTACTATAAATTAGTTTTTATGATGCAAATAGGGATGGGCATGGGTCGGGTTGGGTCAGATTTTTGTCCACCTGACCCGACCTGAGAACAATGACTCCACCACTCGAAATCCGACCCGACCCACATAATATATATCCTCCACCCGACCCGAATCCGACATGACTTTTTAAAATAAAATTAGACTCGATCCGATCCGATCCAAAATAATAAAATATATTATTTTTATTCAATAAAAAAATTAAATTAGCTGACCCTTTTTCCCCATATATTAATGAGGTAAGGAGGGAGGTATGATAGTAGGCTGCCCCCAACGCTAGGTTTAGAGCAGTTTCCGTGGAGACCTCCGAATTATGGAATGCCCTCCGTGGGACTCGATCCCACGACCACAAGGTTAAGAGCATTGTGCTTTACCAACTGAGCTGGACGGACATTTCTTTTATTCAATAAAAACAATGATTTAATTGAAAAAATAATATATAGAGGGGTATTATTATAATTATTCCTAAATATATAACGTAAAATTATTTTTTTTCCAGGTCGGGTCGAGTCGAGTATTTTCACCCTAAATCTGAATTCGACCCGACCCGACCCGAACATCACATTTAAAAAAACTAGACCCGACCCAAACCTAACCCGAATTTAAAAAAAAACCCAACCCAATAGGATCGGGTTCGGGTCTCATGCCCATCCCTAGATGCAAATCTCACATTAAATTGAATTTTCTCTTTCGAAATAAAAAGGAATTATTGACTCGATTTTTGCTTTTTTATGTCAAACAAGAACTTAGTACACTCCACCATTCATTCAACTGCAACTTCAATAAACAACAAAGTGGAGAGATTCTCTCAATATATTTATGGTAAAAAAAATTAAAGAGCTTTTGAACTTCATGGTGATGAGATTCGAATATCTTTAGATTAAGATATTCTTTGTCATTTATTCTTTTTAAAACGTCTTAATAAGAGATGTCGTCGTATGTAATATACATATATCATGTTCTTCGAGTTCTTTAATTTCAATATTCTTTTGTTCTTGTTTTCTATTTTTTATTATTATTTTCAAATTCAAGCCTAAGAGGAAATCCATCCACCATGCTAAGCCAAGAGTGCAATTAACTAACGCTCAATCACCCTACTGCAGTCGTTGGTGCTCAAACATGTGACATCTTAAAACAACAACGATTCCTTTAACTACTGAAATAAGTGGTTTGTACGCTTTTTGAGTTCTTAACGTATAGTTTTATATTCATGTTGTATTTGAGTTATTCCTTATTTCAGATGAAATATTGTTTATATTAATATTTCTATTCAAGGTTATATAAACCAAGACTTATTTGAATATGAGAAAAATTTAAGAGCTTATTTAAATAAATTGAGAAAATGTAAAGACTTATTTGATATATTAGTTTTTTTTTTACCTTCCTCTACACTTAGAATAAACACATTTGTTTATGAGGTTTTTCTGACCTTAATGAACACAGGCTAACTAAATCCAAGTAACAAACAAGACCAAATAACTCACAAACATGTAATTTTAATTAAAAAAAATAACTCAATTGAGGCCCAATGTATGCCTGTAGTGAAATAAATAGATAATTTTAGGGTAAATTACAAATTTAGTAACTGAACTTTATTTTCTCTTCTATTTCACTCATTATATTTTAGTGTACTTAATATATTGAGTTTTTTTTGTCGCTCAGCCGTTTCCTTACTGACATGTTATAAATGAACTTTTATATAGATGTAAAATGACGTCGTTTTGATAAAAAAAATTATTTTTTTAAAAAGCGTCGTTTTAACGCCGTTAATTATTTAACGGCGGAATGACCAAAAAATTCAAATGTATAAGTTCAGTGAGTAAAATAGGAGAGAGAGTGAAGTTTAATAATGAAATTTATAATTTATCCATAATTTAATGATATATTCGTTTTTGTATAACTATCGAGATATAATCTATTAACTTATTAACTGGAACTAGATCATGTAAAAGTTTATTACGAGGTAGAGTTTTTTAATTTAATTTCTTTCATTTACAATGTCAAGATTCAAAATTTTCACCATACTAAAAAATTAGTATTTAATCTTACTAAACCAACTTGTAGTGGATAAATAACACGTATTATATTATTATTTATTAAATTATTTTTTTATGTAAATAGAGATGTTAATTTTATTAAGATGAGAAAATATTCAAAATTACAATAAAATTAGTAAACTAAATACATCATTAAAATATTTTTCTATAAGCATTGACATAATAAGCCACCAATTCGAGATCATACAACAACCAGAAAAAAGTTAAATTTCAATAAAAAAATTTAAATAAAAGACATGTAAATAAATCTAATTGTATTGATAAATATTGATAAACAAACCACAATATAAGATTAAACTAATAAAAAAATCACCATAAATGTCCTAAAAAAAACTATCCACGAATATAATCCGACCGGAAACACAGAGTTTCAGAAAAAGAAGAAAAAAGAACTCGAAATCAAGAGGATAAGGCGAAAGCAGTGGCAAAACAGACAAGAAAGAAGCCATGGAAGAGAAGCTATCTTCAGTTGCAAAAACTTTTACTCCATCTCCAATTCAAGAGCTCTCACACCTTGCTCAGGGATGCAATGCCATTAACTTAGCCGAGGGCTTCCCTGATTTCCCCGCTCCTCCTTGTATCAAACAAGCTGCAATTTCAGCCATTAACAATGACCTCAACCAGTACAGGTTCAGTTTCTTTCTTTTCATCATTATCATTTTCCAAAGAATACAAAAAGAGGGTACTAATTCTTATCAAATTTTGTTAATGGAAGGCATGTGCAAGGAATTTGTGATCTGTTGGCTCTTAAAATGAAGGAAATCCATGGCTTAAACATTGACCCTTTGACTGATATAGCTATTTGCTGTGGACAATCCGAGGCATTTGCAGCTACAGTTTTTTTCCAGTAGGGCTTCTTCTTTATGTTGCAGTTATTGAGTTCCTTTCTTTAATTTGTGCATTTTGTGTGTAATTTTGAATTAAGGGTTTATCTGGGCAGTTATAGATAAAGGAGATGAAGTATTGTTGTTCGAACCTTGTTATGAAACTTATGAAGGATCCATAACCATAGCTGGAGGAATTCCAGTAAGCGTGTTTAGATTATTAGCTATATATCATGTGTAAAACCGAAGCCGATTCTGTTCGTTTTCGCAGGTATATGTGCCGCTCGATCCGCCTCGGTGGACCTTGGACTCTGAGAAATTTTCGAGTTCTTTCACAAGCAGAACAAAGGCTATAGTATTAAACAGGTCATGGATGATTTTTATGTTTTAAGTCAAGGATTTGATACTGTAAAGCTGTTGTATGACTCACATTTATGTTAATGCATGAGAAGCTATGTTCTGAAAGTGTTCTGATATGAAGGGTACAGTCCTCACAACCCAACTGGCAAAGTTTTCTCCAGAGAAGAGCTCGAAGTTATTGCCGAATGTTGTCGTCGATGGGATTGCGTCGCTATAACGGATGAAGTATGGCGTCACTTGCTAATACTTGTGATGCATTGAAAAAAATCTTAGCAATGAGTTTATATATACTTTGTGTTCTTCCATTGCAGGTATATGAATACATAACTTTTGATAACCAAAAGCATGAGACCATCGCCTCGCTTCCGGGAATGCAGGAGCGGACTATTATAACATCGTCGTTGTCTAAAACTTTTAGCATTACAGGTCCAAAGACAAAGCTAACCATAGTAATTTTAACTGCTGAAAATGCTAAATGCATTACAGTTACAAAGCTTATTTATTGCTTGGTATTCATGCTTGTTCATTTGGTTGTTATTTTGGGATTTAGAGTGCCCCGTTATGTTTTTTCAGGATGGAGAATTGGATGGGCTATTGCTCCAGCTTCTGCTGCATCCGCAATCCGAAACATTCACGTCAAAATTACCGATTCAGCTCCAGCTCCTTTCCAGGAAGCTGCCTTGACTGCTTTGAGCAGCCCCCCCAACTACTTCGAAACACTCAGAATAGTAAGTTTAATGCAGTTTAGACATTAGTATATCACACGATTCGTCACCTCAATTGATCGTTCGTTATGTTGATTAACAGGAATATCAGTTGAAAAGAGATTTCTGTATGAAGTTGCTCGATTCGGTCGGTTTCCGGATTCAATTCAAGCCCCAGGGTTCCTTTTTTTTGTTTGCAGAGCTTCCAAAGGATTGCTTGCTATCCGATGTAAGTATATGCAGATTATTTACTTGTATCGGCAAACATGGTGCTTAGTTCCACTATTTTTCAGGTGGAATATGTGAAGGAACTGATCGAACAAGCCGGGGTCGTGGTTGTACCGGGACGCGGATTTTTCCGCGGTCCGGACCGACCTTCGGATGGAAGTTGCAGATATCAAAAGAGGTATATCAGGGTTGCATTTTGCAAAAGTGATGCCACATTGAGTGCTGCAGCACAAAAGTTTGGTGAGCTAAGTTATACTGCTAGAGAAGGATGATCAAAAAGAGAGTAGAAACAATGCTTTAAATTATATATGATTAAAAACTTCAAAATTTTAATTTAGACCTTTGAAGTTTTTGAAAATTTTAAATAAGTCCCCCAAATTATTTTGTCCATCGTCGGATATTACCTAAATTTATTATAAGAATGACTCTCACAATCTAATATGTTCCATTTACGACATCAAAAATGTAAACCATGTACGTGGCTTATAAACATAATACCTCATCTTATGATTCTTCAATATAATTATAGATTATATAATCTAATTGAACAAATATAATTTCATATAATATTATAGGGTAAGAAAAATTATTAAATATAACCAATGACGGAGTCACGTCAAAGAAAAAATTGATTCTTCAATTTTTTATTTTATATGAAAAAGTTTAAAGCTAAAATTTTATATTAAAAATTATTATACATTAATATTTAAATTTTAGTATTACACTTAAATTTTATGATTTGGTCGTAAATATAATAAAATCATGGTAATTTACGTGTTTAGTATTTAAATTATTAGTTTTAGTGTTTAAACTTTTAGTTTTTTCAAAATCATACCTAATGTTTAGTTTTTGTTTCATTTTAGTACCACACTATTAAAAAATTAACGACACTTATCTTTTTATGGGTAAATTACATCATTCATCACTCAACTATTTTCTCACTCCTATTTTGGTACTAAAGTTTAATTTTTTTTTAAATTTAACTACTCATCTTTCAAATTGTTCCTATTTTAATTACTCTAATTCATTTTATTAATAATTTTTGTGACATGACTTTTTTTTATTATTTTATTAATACAAAATTAAAAAATTAAAAGTTAGAATGATTAAATTAGGAGTAACTTGAAAGTTAAGTAATTAAATTAAAAAAATAAAGTTTAGTGACAAAAATAGGAGTGAGAAGATAGTTGAATGATAATGATACGATTTACCCATAAAAAAGTGTCATATGCAAATCAACTGTTACGTTTGTAACGGCGAGTTATTAAAACGAAATAAAAACAAAACGTTATGCACGATTTTGAAAAAAAATTAAGAATTTACGTAGTAAACAAACCAAAAATAATAGTTTAACCGTTTAGGTATTAAATGCGTAGTTTACCATGATCGATAGAAGATTCATAATTTCCACTTAAACTCAATCTTATAAACGCCTTATTTGACTTATCAACACTTCTACGGACAGGTTCGATCGACAGAGAAATTCTATGCTCGAAATTCTAAACAAAAAAATCACGTTTTTATTGCGAAATATAATAAAAATATGGAAATGATAGGGTTGGTCGGGATGGTGGCCATGAAGAAAACAACTGAAACAATCCATGGCACAAAATCATTTAAAATAAAAATAAAAACTGTCCACTAAATTCTTAAACTACGAGGTGGATGGGAACAATAAAGTTTTCATATATAGGTACGTAAGTGATACCATTTGGAACAATTTATACCACATAATTTTGTCATATAATTTTAATCACTAAAATAATTTGATTCGCGCCTAATTCTTAAACCTCGAGATAATTGAAAACATTTTTTTTATAAAGATAAGGAGATTATAAAGTAATATTTGTTATAAATACTCTTAATCATTTGACAGTGAATGCTTAATCACCCTGCTGCAGTCACTGATGCTCGAACCCGTGACTTCTAGGCAGAGACGAAGCTTAGTGAGGGCCCAAATGGATTCCCGCCCTGTTAAAATTTATATATTCGATATAATTTTGGTCTAATAGTATTTTGATTCATGTAAAAATAAATATTTAAATTAAATGATATAATAATTTATTGAATGTTTAATTAAGGACCGAACTAAAGAATGATATCCTGTGTTCGCAAAACTTTTGGTCTAATAACAATTTAGATCATTGGAAGCTTAAATATTAGACAAATTAGGTGTTATATTGTGAATTTGGAATTTTTTTTTATATAAATCTAGATTGAGTACAAAGTAATATATGTATAAAGACTCTTAACTATTTGACAATAAATGCTCAACCACTACATGCACAACGCTCGAACTCGAGACCTCAAGGATAACAACAATCCCTTAATTACTAAAGTCGTTTGGTTCGTATTTAATTTTAAATTTAAATACCTAATAACTCTTTATAATTTTTTTAAATAGTCCAATATTTGGGCTCCTGTCAATATTTAGTTTTGACTCCGTCACTGTCTCTAGAAACAATAACAATTTCTATAACTATTGAAATAAATTAATTCATGTTAATCGAAAACATTAAAATTTTCGTATATATGTAAGTAAATGATAAGTGGTACCATATGGAACAATTTGGACCCACGATTTTGTCATGTACTTTTAACCATTTGGAACGATTTCAACCTCGGATTTTGAGTTGTTGACTGTCTTGCTCTTAATTAATGCATTTTATATAAATTTTTTATTAAATATATTAATTCTAAGTAAATATATATTTTTGAGTAATAGGGGACATGAATTACAAGTTAAACGCTAGTATTCCCCCCTAAAAGAATTATAAATAAACACGTTGAATGATGAACGATTTAACATTCAACGTTGAATGATTTCATTCAGAGCCCAACAAACAACCCCTTAGTCTAGAAATTAGAATATTTTCATTATAGATGCCGGTTGATTTAACAAATATTTAGTCCGAAAATTTGAATATTTTCATTATAAATACTCGTAGATTTAAATCGGATTATCCGAATCGAATATTTTTTAACACCCCCTAATTACCGCCAATACTATCTTAAACAATGAAAGACGCCAGGCGTTTGATCAATTTCTGAGCATTCTCAGATTCATATGCCAGAATATGAAACGCATGATCTTCATCTTCAAAATCAACCAACTCCAGTTCCCCTTGCCACCCACTTTCCTTCACTGCATTATAATACAAAATCTCTCTGTCCCTCAATAAATCCTTTCCGGCAACACTAACAAGCAGCCTCGAACAATCAAGTCTGGCCAGACTCGGAGCTCCGGCAGCCAACGGATTCATCATCGGGTTATCGACACCTCCGGGCGCCTCCGGATACGCCAAGTGCCACATGGTAGTCATTGCCACCTTCTCTCGTTCTTCTACATCCTTCATCTCGGACCCGACTGGTTTGGAACCCCAAAAGTAAGAGTGTGTTAGAAAAGCTCCTTTGATTTTAACACCATTATGTAAGCCCTCCGATCCAGCTCGAATCAGTATGCTATGAGCGATGTTGGCACCGGCGCTGTCGCCGCCGATATAAACACGATCGAAATCAACGTAAGTAGAAACCCAAGGCTCGTCGTTGGAATGAGAAACAACCCATTGAAGACCGGCCCAGCAATCGTGATAAGCAATGGGGAGAGGGTGTTCAGGGGCCAGCCTATACTCGATCGACAGAACAACGGCGTTGGCCAAACGAGCCAAGCGGTTCATGAACTTGGTTTCGACGAAAGAGAAAGCTGACTCGAAGCAAAAGCCTCCGCCATGGAAGTAAACCAATGTGGGAACCTTTTGGTGTTGGTGTTGGTCAAGCAGGTGTTTTGGAAGGTAGATTCGAGCTGAGATTGGTGGGTCTTGTGAGACGATGATGTCTTTTGACGAGACCCCAGTTTCAGGGTCATCGGCACAAGGTGGTACGATGGGAGAGTCAGCCAATCGCTCGACTGAACCATCTTTGTAAACTCGGATATAAGGGAGGATCTCGGTGGCTACTTCCTTGCCATTGGAACCCATGGTCTTTTGAGGAGGGGAACTAGCGAACAAAAGCAAAAAAGACACAAACTTTGGCCAATTCTGGTGAATGTTTTGTTGTGCGGGGTAGCCCACACTAGGGGGTACTCAATTTATAGAACTTTTGGTGAACTTGAATCTTAAGCGTCGATCTTTGAATGAATCGTTTTACACGTTTCGGATGGATTACTGGTCATTTATGCATTATTTGGACATTGTGGTCGCTTTTAAATTTGGAAAAAAATAAGAGTAAAAGTACATTAGAAGACACTCAAATATATTGAAATGATTATTTCAGGTTCTGAATTTTTAAAAGTTTTAAAATGATTATTAAATTTATCAAATTGTTACAAAATGATTATTAAGACGTTATAATAAACATAAATTTTGATAAATTAAATGATTATTTTATAACAGTTCCATAAAAGCTAATGACTAATTTGTAGTAGCTAGATAAAAATTATTAATTATTTTGTAAGAATTTGATAAATTTAATAATCATTTTATAATTTTAAAATTTCAATATCGAAATGATCACTTAAGCATAATTTAGTAACCTCTTTTGTACTTTATTTAAATAATAATAATAATAATAATAATAATAATAATAATAAACTACATCAATTACTAACCAAATTTATAGAATACATAAGTAAGAAAGATAAAATATACCAATTTACTTAACTTTCACATCATCATTTTCGTTAAATATTAACGTTTATTAGCTTCACGGATAACATTTTATTAGTTAGTGGTCTAATTAAAAAAAAAAACTACCCAACTTCCATAATATAAACCATGTGATCTAACTCTTAATAGTTGTTAGAGTATAATCTGAATTTCATTTAACTGAAACTGATTAAGAAAAGAAGGAAATTTAGGGTCCGTTTAGTTTTAGAAAATATAGGTAATTTTATTTTTTATTTTCTTAGAAAATAAAAAATGTTGAAAAAAATGTGTTTGGTTGTAAAATTGAAAAATGATTTCTAGAAAATGAAACAAGAATAAGTGAAAACATGAAAACATAAAAGAGATGTTTTCACTATTTTCATTAAAATTATTTTGAAATTTTGAAAAATAAGGAAATATGATATCTAGAGTTTTAACTTAGCTTACATAAGTTTAAATCATTCTAACAATACCAACAATTAGTTGATCTAGTGAGATGAGGCATTAAATCTTTTAAGCAAGGTCAGGGGTTCGAATCCTGACCATTGTGAATGGAGCAAACTGGGTTGGAATGGTCGTCCTTGCCTCTGTAGTACTCGAGCCGGATTAGTTGATTAATAGATCAAATACATGTGGTTATACAAAAAAAATCATTTTAACAATAATTTTTTTGATTTAATAATATTTGAAACCCTCAAATTTTTGTAAAAAAAATAATATGGTCCCTAAACCTTTTTTTACACTCAATGTAATCCTTAAATTAATTTTTTAATAATTTAATTTTGTAGTATTTTTATACTTAATGTGTCGAATATCTTGATAATTGTTTATATTTTTAATCTAAATATTTTTTTTAAAATTAAATAAGTCCTCAAACTTTATAGAATAATCAATTAAGTCCATATACCACATCATCATCCATCGAGTACTACCACAATAATATCGTGAACTATCACATCAACATTGTAAATTGTCATGTAAGTTTGTGAACTGTCATATAAGTGTCGTGATGTTTAACGTTTGATTCCGCTATTTAAAGGGCTAGATTTTTTTTTCTAAGTTTAAGGATCATATTTTGCACAAAAACTGCATTCAGTGACTACACTAATTATTTTCCTCAAAAGTTGAGGGTATCAATTACCACTAAACACATTTTGTGTATTTTTTAAATTTAATTGATGCCCAATATAAATTAACATTATATTCTTATTCTAAACTAAAATAAATTTGGTGTTATGAAATTTCTTATCAATTTTATTGTTTTATATTTACATAACTCACATGTTAAATTTATATATTGATTTTTTTAATAATTATAGTTTAATTTAATTATTTAATAACTATTTATTTATTTATATTTTAAAAAAGTAGATACCACATACATTTGTACTATTTTAGTTTTGAAGTAAAGTTTTCATTTATATTAACCAAACATGTTTTCTAATTTTCAAAAAATTGAAAATGAAAACTATTTTCTGAAAACAAAAACAGAAAATAAAAATAAATTCAATTTTTTCATTTATATTAACCAAACATGTTTTCTAATTTTTAAAAAATTGAAAATGAAAACTATTTTTTGAAAATAAAAATAGAAAATGAAAATAGAAAATATTTTCTAAAACCAAACAGACCCTTAATTTGATTTAAAATAGAAAATATTTTCCATTTTATGTTGAAAGAAAAAATTTATTTTGAATAGATTTCTATTAAACAAGTTTCATTTGTAATCAAATAATTATCCATGTAAATATATACAAATAATTAGGTTTAGATGAAAAGTTGTTCACGAGAATACCTATTTATTTATTCTATTATCTACATTAATGAAACCCTTCTCCTCTACCTGTAATTTTTTTACGTAAAATCTCGATATCTATTTTATTGTGTGTTCATTATACTTGAAAAAGACTGTTAGTTTTTATGTTTTACAAGGTTTAACAATTTTAGATAATGCATTTGTTGTTTCTTCATGTGTTAGATGAAAATATCATTGGCGAAACATCTTAAGTGAATCAAGCAGAAGAAATTTCGTGTTTAAAATGATAATCATGAATATTACTATTTTGTGAAGCATAATAAAATTCAATTTTGTAGGCATAACGGATTCGAGGCGAATAAAAAAGTTTAATTCATCACATGAATTAACAACTAAAACATAAAATTGACATCGATGATTGGGAATATATTCTCCATAATATTGATATGGTGACACAATTGTGAGCAAAAATGACAATTATGATTAAGGGTGTTCATTTTTCGGTTTTAACCGAATTAACTGATTGAACCGAATTAGTTGGGTTAATTCGGTCGAGGAACCGTTAATACCTTTTTCAATATTCGTTAACGATTAATTCGGTTCGAAATCAGTTAATTAACTAAATTATTAAATATTAAATCTATTATATATATTAAATACATATTTTAAGTTCAAACACCTTGAGAGACCAAATTAATTTTTAACCACATTAGACTCATTAAATTGTCAATACCTAATTAAATTTTGAATCAAATGAAAAAAATAATTTTATTATATTTAAATTAATCTAATTAAATATTTTGGTTAATTCAGTTAACTGACCAAAATAATTTAACTTTATTCAGTTCGGTTAATATTTTCAGAAAAGGTTTGGTTCGGTTAACGATTAAAGAAAAAAGTTTGGTTAATTCGGTTAATGTCGGTGACTGAATTAACCGTTTAAACAACCCTAATTATGATGACTTTATTGATGTGAAGATTAAGTTACCTCGTACATCCAAGTTTGTGCTGAGTTAATCGATCGACGAATCGGCCAAGAGGAGGTGAATTGACAATTAAAATTTTGGTGGAAGCTTTTGCAGAAAATAGAAAATATTTGCACAGCGATTTAGAGTGGTTCAACTTTTTCAACCAAAGTCTACGTCCACTACCTTAGCTATCCACACTAAGGATTTTCCACAAATTCACTAATTTATCTTTCTTTTGAGGACAAAGAGTAACCTTACAAATCCCTCAAGAATTATACCCGAAATTCTTGAGAACACTCTCTCCCATAGAGAACAATACAAATTTTGCAAACTTACAGAAAAACCTCACTAGGCAAGATGTTTGCACAATTCTAGAACAAAGAAAGAACACTCAATAATGAATACAATTGAGCACAAATAGTATTCTTGAAAGTAAATGAATATTGAATGAAAATAGGCTTGAAAATGCTCAAACAATAAGTTCAAGGCTTTCTCTTTGATTTTCTAGCTTCTCTTCTTAATTGTTGTTGATCAATAGCTTCTGAGCTTGTTTAAATACACATTGGATCACTTCTAAATGTTGGGGAACATTGGTGAAGTCAATAGAGTCGTTATGGTGTAATTATAATTTAAAAAATCAATTAGGAGCGTAGGTGTATCGGTACACTCAGTGTAAAATTCAAATATTTCGATCGTTAGTTGACCTAGTGTATCGGTACACTTGGGGTGCATCAGTACACTAATTACATTCGATATTTCTCGGAGCCAGGAGTGTATCGATGAATCGTTTGTGTATCGGTACACAAAATACATTCGATGTAGGGGGTGTATCGGTACATCCCAGAGTGTATCGATACATCCCTTTGTAAAAATGATTTTTGGTCCGATTATGGTTCGAAATACTTTGTAAAATTTGTTTCAAAAACATTTAAGTTTAAAACACAATTTTACACTTTAGTAAGGATTGAAATTGACTTTTAAAAAACTTGGAGTAATATTTTTTATATTCGAATATACTTTAAAAATGATTATAAAATCTTAAAATCCAATTACACTTAATTTGTTATATCGAAACATCAAAATATTTTTAACAGTTTGGGTAATGTTTGAATTCAATTAACAATCATTGTTAAAGAATACTTCTTTAAGAGATTTCGTGGAAGAAATGAATAATATATTCTCAAAATGAATAACTTATTTGTCAATGTAAATAATTATTTTTATAGAGTTTAGATATTTCATAGAATTTAAAATTTTGTCTTGACTCATTCCTTGGGGAAGGTATGATACTTAGTTTGAATGAAAAAGGAAAGTATATATTATTTTATGTTGATTGAAAGTAGTATACCTATCCTGACATAGGAGCAGAATTGACTTGTTTTTTTTTTCCTTCAATGTTCTACACATCAAACAAGGAAAGACGCCAGCCGTTTGATGTGTTTCTTTGCATTCTCAGAATCATAAACCTTAATATGAAACGTATGATCTTCAACTTCAACTTCAACCAACTCCAGTTCCCCTTCCCACCCACTTTCCTTCACTGCATTAGAATACGATATCCCTCTGTCCCTCAGTGAATCCTTGCCAGCAACACTAACAAGCAGCCTCGAACATCCAAGTCCCGCCAAGCTCGGAGCTCCGGGAACCACCGGATTTATCATCGGATTATCGATACCCCCGGCTGCCTCTGGATACACCAAGTGCCAAATGGTGGACGTTGCCAGCTTCTCCCGTTGCTCAACATCCTTAGTCTCGGACCCAACTGGCTTCGAACCCCAGAAGTAAGGGTGTGTCAGGAAAGCTCCAAGGGACAACCAACCATTACGTAAGCCCTCTGATCCAGCTCGAATCAGTATGTTATGAGCAAGGTTGGCACCGGCGCTGTCGCCGCCGATGTAAACACGATCGAAATCTGCATAAGTAGAAACCCAAGGCTCCTCGTTGGAATGAGAAACAACCCATTGAAGACCAGACCAGCAATCTTCATAACCAATGGGGAGAGGGTGTTCAGGGGCTAGCCTATAGTCGATCGATACAACAACGGCGTTGGCTAAACAAGCCAAGCGGTTCATGAACTTGGTTTCACCAAAAGAGAAAGCTGACCCGAAGCAAAAGCCTCCACCGTGGAAGTAAACTAAAATGGGAACCTTAGGGGGTTGGTGGTGGTCAAGTAGGTGTTTTGGAAGGTAGATTCGAGCTGAGATTGGTGGCTCTTGTGAGACGATTATGTCTTTTAATGAGATGCTGGTTTCAGGGTCTTCAGCACAAGGTGGGACGATGGGAGAGCCAGCCAATCGCTCGACTGAACCATCTTTGTAAACCCGGATGAAAGGGAGGATCTCGGTGGCCACTTCCTTGCCATTGGAACCCATAGTGTTTAGAGTTGGAACCTGTGAACAGAAGAGGCCAAAAAGACGCACAAACTTCGGCCAATTTATGTAGTACATGTTTGATTACGTGGAGGGGATTTCTAAGGAAATGTAGACTATTATAAAGTTAAGAAAAGATGCTACTGAAAAATTAATATATTTTAATATTTTTGATAGAGTAATACTTAATATGTTATTTTTTTACCGAAAATGTTAATATCGAAAATATTCATTTTAGGTGACAAAATTAATATTTTCGGTAAAAAAAATAATATTTTAAATAACACTCCACCAAAAGTATTAAAAAAATATTAATATTTTTAGTAACACTTTCATTAGCCTTATATTAGATTTCCATACAACAAAACTACCCTATGTTGAGTGGGTGTAAACCTTTGAATGAATGAGAAGTTATTCAATTATGTTCCAATAATTATCGTGGCAGGTTTAATAGTATTTTAGTTCTTCAACTTTTTCACTCAATAGAATGGTAATTTTATATTAAAACCTTAAATAAATAATTATTTAAAGAAATAGGGTCCTCCATACATTATTTAGAAGAATAATCCCTAACCGCGTGTTAAATCATCGACGTGGGCACACTTTCCAAATAAGACAATAAAATAATTGGATAAAATAGTCTCGTGCAATGAGAAGCGTGAAGTAGCCTTTATGATCCAAAATATCGCGAGATTTATGAAGGAGCTCGCGTGAGGTTCTCTCGAATTCTGTTGAAACGTAGAAATTAAATGAATATAATAAATAAATATAATAATATTAATTAATAATATTAATTATTAAATTTAATAACTAATTATAATATATTTTGTAAATTTTTAAATAATGAAAAAATAAATTGTAAAATATTAAATATAATAAATAATAAATAATATTATAATTATATTATATTTTGAAATTTAAAAGATAAAGTAATCTCGTGTTTTACAAACAACGAGATACTGGAAACGAAATAAATTACGTAACTCGCGTCTTGCAGGACGTTAGTTACATTTAAATCGCGCTTCTCCAAGTGTGGAGAAAGTCTTTAAATAAGATCATTCACTCCTATTCATCACGACACCATCTCTTTCATATATTCAAAGATTCAAAGATTTCATATCATGATGACGAGTCTATTAAGACATGATCAAGTCACGTATTTGATTATTTGAGGCAAAATGATGAGGTAAATTAATTAATATTATTTTATATTTTTACTATTTATTTATTTATTTATTTATTTAGTCTATTTGTTTTGGTATTTAAATAATTTTTTAATATTTATATTTCGTTTGATATGAACGTGTATTAAAGTGTTATATAAATCGTGTGACACAGCTCGAAGTGGATATTATTGACTATTTACATTTATTGGGCTTCAGATATATCGGTAGTATAACTGGTGACGGTGAGAAGTTGCATCTCCACTTATAAATGCGTTGGTGGAAAGATAGAGACTGGAGACGCACACGTTTCATTTACCCTGTGGGGAGACAACTATTACCCTGCAAGATGTTGTATTTAATCTGAGACTGCCTATTGATGGAGTAGTTATTATTGGTTTTGTCGGCGCCTCTAGAAACGTATATGATGTATTGCTCGGAATTGATCCGCCTGATGATGCACGCGATGATAGAAAAAATGAAAATTAATTTTTTGGATGAAAATTTTACGAACCTATCCTAGATTGTGGAGCATGAAGTGAATGAGGTAAATATAAATGTTTTTATCTATGAATATTTATTAATATTTTAATTTATTTATTTTTTGGAAATTAAGTAGTTATATTATTTTATTAATTTTTTGAAATGATTTGCTCGTGCACATATACTACGAGTTATTGAGGGGATTTTAATGCCAAACAATTCCCGAAATAAGATGCATATGGTATGGTTGAATCATTTACAAAATTTGAGTGATTCAATAAATATAAGTTGGAGGTCGACGATTTTGACATTTTTGTTCTAGCAACTTTGTAGAGCCATAGATCCATTGAAAAATGTCTTTGGAGGGTGTTTAGTGTCGTTGCAGTCATGGGCTTGGATCCAAATGCCATTTTTATGTTTGATCCTTAAAACACATGTCCCATATGAATTTCTGTTACTTAAGAGGTAAAAATTAATTTTTATCTATTTTCTATAATATTATTAACAAATAATAAAATAATGTTGTATTTGTTAGGATTTTCGGAAGCACGAATCGACAACCGAAAAGGTTTGCAAAGAGGGGTCGGAACGGTTTTGTGTTTAGGGAGCAAGGAGATTGAAAGATAGAAATTGCACAGCGATTTAGAGTGGTTCGACTTTCTCAACCAAAGTCTACATCCGCTACCTTAGCTCATCACCAAGGATTTTCCAACAAATTCACTAATTTGTTCTTTCTTTTGAGGACAAAGAGATAACCTTACAACTCCCTAGTTTTTTCGGGCTAAACTAGAACCTTTCCCTAGCTTTTACACGGGATAAGCTAGAACCTTTCCCCTTTACAAAAGGATAAAAGATGTAAACAAGAAAACCTCTCTAAGGTAGGTGTTTACAAGATTGAGCTCACAAGAACAAAATATTTACAAGAGAAATATGAAATAAGAATGAAAAACTCTTCTCTTGTGTTTGATTGCTTGGATAGTTGTTCTCTTTATTCTTCAAGTGTCATTAGCTTGTATTTATAGCTTGGAATGTGTTTGATGTTGTATATAGCCGTTGGGGATGTTTTGGAGCCGTTTGGGGATGATTTTTCTACTCAAAAAGGCTGCCCATAACATGGTGCATCGGTGCACTATCATGGTGCATCAATACCCCTTCATTAAATTCAAATAAACTAGCCGTTACTAGCCGTTGCAGCCTTGATGCATGGATGCATGGCAGGATGCATCGATGCATGGCCTTAATACATCGATGCACAGAAGGATGCATCGATGCACTAATTGAATTCGGTGTTTGAGTGCATGGATGTACTGCATGATGCATCGATGCACTAGTGCAGGTGCATGGATGCACTGCAGGGATGCATGGATGCACTGTAGGGATGCATGTATGCACTTTGACACCCTTTAGCATTTTGGCTCAAATCCGATTTTAATGGACTTTGAATTATTTTTGAAACATTTTAAAACTTTGAATAAATTCAATTAAGTCCAAAAACATTTTGTAAATTTAATTCAAGTCCAAAAACCATTTTGCCTTAAATTGTTATATCAAAACATAGTTCAACAATCTCCCCCTTTTTGATATAACAAAACATTTAAAAAATTGTTTTTGGCAAAACTCCCCCTTAATAAATTGTTTAATGAAAAAGATATCAATTGTTACCAATTGTTAGAAAATATATGAAAATGTTAAGCTCCCCCTTTTTGATTAAGAAATTGAATTTTTCAAACCAAACTTCTCCCCCTTTTTGTTATATAAAAAATAATTCAATCTTTGAAGTCCAAAATAACTTTGGAGAGTAAGTAGTAAATTTGACATTTAAAAATCATTTGAAAAATCAAAGCTCCCCCTCAATAAATGCATTCCAAACAAAATTTAGCTTTAGGATCATGACACTTAAACAAAATTGAATTTCAACAAAGAATAACAAACATGTTAGTAGAACATGAAATTCAATACATCCAATTCTAAAATACTTTATGCAATATCAATTATTGAAATTAAGTGCATATGCATAAAGATTTCCAAAAATGTTATGCATTTGAAAATTTTGATATAAATTGTTAGAGAGATATTATTTTCATTTAAACCACATGCATAAACATTTAAATTTAGGTCAAAAATTTATAAAATCAAAACATTTGAGAAGTTGATATCAATTGTTAGAGAGATATCATTTGCATTAAAAACCAATTTGGCCAAAATTTTATTATGATGAACTAAAAATTCTGAAAAATCGTTACAACTTTAAAATGTTCATCATAATCATCTTTTCAACATACATGAGATTAAACAATAATGCATAATCATTTAAAACCAAAACTCATGCATGCTTAAAATCAAATGAGCAACCAAATAACCAAAATTAAAAGCATTAAGTTTAGAGATTACCCATTCCTTTTTCATCTGTGGCTAGAGCATCTTGAATATCATCACTTTCATCACCATTACTCCCACACACCTACAAGAGACATTTATTTTGATTTTGGTATCTAAATTGCTTTAGATCCTTGGACGTTAGGTTCAATGCCCCTTGTTCCTTTCGGAACCCATACTTGTCTAATTTTAAAACGATTTCCTTTCTTCAAAGGACAAGTATGTTCCTTATGACCATGATAATGACAATGTGAGCATATTGTCATTATTGAACTAAATGAATTATTTAAAATGATTTCTTTTTCTTTTGTTAAGCATTCAAGCTTAACTTTTAAATCAAGATTTTCTTTTTCAAAACTTTAAATTTTTATTTTTGAAAGCTCTAAATCCTTTTTCAAAATTTCATTTTGGCTTTCAAAATCTATTTTTGTTTTCAAAAGAAAATCGTTTTTGATTTTAAATTTTGAAATCATTTTCTTATATTTGGAGTTCATGGTCTCAAACTCCGAATATAACCTATTAAAAGCAACTTGTAACTCATCAAACATATATAAATTAAATTTATTTGAGTTAGAAGATACCTCGGGCTCTTCACGAGCCATTAGAGACACCACCTTTGTTGGTTATTCTTTCTTATTTCCATGGATTTCCTCAAGCTTATTCTAAAGCTCCTTGGCACTTGAACATAAAGAAACCCCTTCATAGATTTCATGACCAAATGCACAAAACAGCATGTGCATGGCCTTGGCATTAAGTTGAGCTTTCTTCCGTTCTTTGTCACTCTTCTTCTCCTCATTCTTCTTTGGAGAAGAGTAGTCGTTCTCGATTATCTTCCATGCATCAAGATCATTGGATTGGATGAATACCTTCATTAATTTCTTCCAATGATGATAGTTGACTCCATTGAAGTATGGAGGCTTGTCCGTTGGTAGGGAGTCTTCCATGTGGAACGAGCCGGAGGTGGAAGCCATCTTCTCAGTTGTGTCG